TGAGGAACTTTCTGGCATTCTGCTGATTCTGTTGTGGGGCTACTGTGCTCCTACAACAGGGAACTGAAGGGGAACTGAGAGCAGTGCAAAACGGCAGGAGCAGTTTCCAGTGTGGTGGCGGCCACACCTGCTGACACGAGAGGACCTCAGTTGGAAACGGGGTGGAAGCAAAGGGATAAGTATGTAGGCTGCATGCATGCATGCATACTGATGGCAGGAACAGGACCAGTGATGTTTTGTGGGATTATAAGTATGTGTAGAATTAATATGCCCAACAGTGATAATACACAGAGAAAAAGGACGGTAAGCAGAGTTACAGTGTTCTGCTATCCTAGTTGTTTGAAATGGTAAAAGGAATATCAGTTCCTGTTATTCTTTCAAAGTCAATGGCTTTGATCCATACTGCAATCCCTAAGGAGGTAAACCACTAAAAGAAAAAAATATGAGGATGCATAAAATACAACTTAAGGACAAAGAAAAATAGAATATTTGATTAATCCTAAAGGTAGGAATTAAAATAACATCTATTCTAGAATCTCATCAAACTTATTGCTATTTGAAAGTTAATAAACTTAAAAACCCTTAAGTAAGATACTTCAAAAATAATCCAATCTTGCCATTTAAAAATCCTTTAGTGAAATTCACCAGATTAAGAAAGCCCCTATGATCATTTCAATGGGTTCAGAAAAAGCATGATTAAATTCAATATTACTACATTTTAAAAATTCTTTCAGCAAAATTAAATTTATCCTGAACACACCAAAAAAAAAAAAAAATCCTACAATCCACCTCACTATAAATCTAGTGAGTTAATTTTTTTTTGTTATGAGGCACAAAATAAAAATATCTTCTTTGTTCATTTTTGTTAATTACCTGACTGGTGAACTCACCTAGCATGATTAGGATCCCCCAAATAAATAATGAACTCATTAGTATTGGATAAAATTTGTTATTATTTGCTCATAATGTTTGAGTAATAGAAGACCAAAAGAAGCTGTAAATATACTACTGGAATAAGAAAGTTTTGCACAGTTGTGGGATATGTTCAATAAATCAGAACTGTTGTAAAATGCCTTTATCATACAATTGAAACAAAGTTAGGAAAACATTTAAGAAAATATGTATGTATTTCTATCGAAGAAAATAAGTTTGTATAAAAATGCAAAGTTTTATTGAAAACTTGAATATGACTTAAATAAAACAGGCTATGCCATATTCTTGGGTTCTCTTGTCCTTACTGTAGCTTTCTAAGAGAAAAAGCCCACTTTCATGGACATTATTCTTCCTTTTGAAAAACCAAAATGAGACTAGTCGGGTTCCAATCTGGCATGTGGCTTGTTTTTGATTCTTTATTTTATGCCATTGTTCTACGTCATTCCAAAGCTCTTCCTCAGGTTAGCTGCTTGTGAGGACAGGACTTTCTGTCCTGTCCTTTGGTACTGAGTTGTAACTCTTACACTACCTCACATTTAATCTTCAAGCAAAACTGAAGTCTTCATTCTTTTCTCCTTACAGATTTTGCACTCAAAAGAAACATCATTTTTAAATCCTACAGAAATGCCTTGCCTGCAGTCATGTCCAACTGGGATTAGCTGTGAACACAATTCGAAGTCTCAGATATTAAGGGAACACGTTTCAGAGTTAGATTCCGCTTTCCATTCTGTTCTATCATTGCCATCAGGTAAGCTTCCTCATAAAAATTTACTTTACGTAGTGAAACAGAATACTATAAATACAAATAATCTATTAAGTTACTATTAGTTACTAGACCTAACCAATTTTTACAGGGGAATTAAATGACATGTGATGCCAATTTTTAAAGTTGATTTTCCAGTTACTTTTATTTGATGTGCTTTGAAGAATAACTAGATTTTAATCTCCTACACTATTACACTGTGTTAAAATTTTGGCAACCTGCTATATTGTTGAGATGTTTTTCACTAATAATACTGTTCTACATGGAGTTTTTTCTGCCACATGTTCTGCTATTTATGATTACTGAATACCTTGCATTTATTCAAGTGACAGGAAAACCATCTTCACATTTAGTACTGAACCTTAAGAGTATACATTATCTGAGTAAATGAGGCATTTATACCCTACATTTAAGGTGGCTTCCAATTTTCAGTTAATTTTTGAGTAACTTTCTCACTTTTTTTTATATTGGCTCTCAAGTATCTTAGATAGGAAAGAAACATGCCACACATTCACCATGCCAAGTTCTTTCCTTTATCAGGAAATTTCTCAAATGAGCTTTTACTTCCTTTTCAACTTTTAAATTTTAACATAAAAAATTGTCTCTCTTTGTAATACAACTTTTTTTCTACTGTCCCCCTTCCCCAAATCTTAATTTAGTTCTTAACAGTATTACAATGACACATTAGCTATATTTCTTTAAATTCTGAATGGGAATTATGTCATCTATCTTTGAGAAAACTTGCATAGAAGGTAGAAAATAATAAACACTCTCATAGCATTACACTGCAGCTAACAGTGTTAGGATGCACTGGCCCTGGGTATACTATGCATATTCCGTTTATTATTGACGTCTCACAACCGTTGAGAATGATACTGCTGTCCTCTTCATCTTACCTATGAGAAAATGAAGCTTTGAGACATTAAGTACTGATCCATGATTCCTCAGTGTTGTAGTCACTTTCCTCGATGCCAGGGCAGGATACCCAACCCTGCACCGAACAGGAGAGGTGTATTCTGGCTCATGCTCCAGAAGTTTCAGTCTTGCTGGGCTGAAGAAAGCTGCTCCTTTCATGGTGGAGGGGACACAGTTAGGGGAGGACCTAGGAAGGAGATAAACCTGGTTTCTTCTGACCAGTCCCACCTCCTAACAGCAAGTCAGCTACAAGGTCCCCATCACTCCCCAACATGACTCAGGGGGCCATTTTAGATATAAACCATAGTGCTGAGCTAATAAATGTTTGTGCTAAGAGTTGATCTGAGGTACTTTCCTAAAGTGTTTCTTTATACAACTTCCTATTTCTTAAACTGGGCCTAATGCCACATGCCTATAATACCAGCACTCAGGAGGCTGAGGCAGGTGATCGCAGGAATTCAGCCTGGCTACACAGTGATACCAAGCCCAGCTTGAACTATACAGCAAGGCCCTATCTCAAGAAACCTTAACAAAAGATGTTATGGGCCTGTCTCAATACATAATTGTGATGTTTCTTTAGGGAGACTGTTGTGTGTACAAAACACAGCTTCGTCATTTTCTATCCCTCTACACCCCTCCCTAGCTGCCCCCTCCTCTTCATTATCTCCAAAAAGCATTTTGTTTCCTATCAACCCTCTTTTATTTTAGGTCACTCTTGTAGGAGAATCCATGTTTATCTGTTGACACGAGCCTGTCAGCTGATACATACTTGTCCTCCTAAGATATAACCCTGAGAATATGTAAAAATCTTTCATCTTACAGGCTCATTAAAAGAAACATTTTTAATAAATAGAATTAACATCTTTATCCACTAGTCAGGGCCATCTATCCCTTGAATTCATTTAATGAAGTTCTCATACACAATATACTAAATAGGTGTGAATAAATCAAGGTTCGTCTTTTCCAGATGAGGACAACTGAAATGTATACTAAAAGCACAAATGGTAAGAAACCTCTGAGAGCCCACAGGTCACATGGTGGGTATAAAAAAAGCTGTATCCAGTGGGAATAAGGATCTTCTCTAGGTAGATCATATTTTATCTCAGTGATAGATGATCATCTTAATAGCAGAACTTACCTCTTTGAAGAAAGTGTTTAGAAATTAGAATTATCCAAATTCTAAAATGTTTAAGTAGCATTATAAGGGAGAATTTTAAATTTATATTCTCATTTTCAACTTGTCACTGGCCTTTAGGATAGACTCCATGAAGAAGACCACGAACCAGTATGTTTTCTGTGTACTTTTTCCACACATGCACATGGACTTTACCAATACTTTGAGCAAGAGATACATTTCTAAAATCCAAACACTCTTGGATCTATCCTTTTTTTTTTTTTTTTTTTCCTTTGGCGGTACCGGGGATTGAACACAGGCCCTTATGCTTGTCAGGCAAGCGCTTATTCTACTGAGCTACCTCCCCAGCCCCTACTTGATCTATCCTGATTTACATGTTTTCTTAAAAATAAATTTTTTTCATTAGCAAAACTTTCAATGTATCAACTGCTTTGAGTCTTCCCCCCTCTGCCCCAGGAAGTGTCTAATAATTCCTGCTCTTTTACCGTCAGTACTGGGCACTGAACTCAGAGCCACACTCATACCGCTCACTGGGCAGACATTCAAATCTGAGATGAGCTCTGTCTGACTTACCCAGGCTGGCCTTGGGCTATAGCCCTCCTCAGGCTCAAGCAGGCATGCGCCGTCACGCCCCGCCAGCCTCGCTTTTTAAGACTATGTTCTTGAAAGAAAAAAAAAAAGTGAGCAAATCTTTTGATTTTCTGGTGGTGACAGTATGAAATATATAAATATGGTAAATCGAATTTTCTGACGTATTAAAGGAAGAAAACTCATGTGTCAGGAAGTTTTAATCACTGTGAAAGCAGCTTCATTTAATATTGTCAACTAAGTGAATGTGCAGGCTAGTGTTTCTTAACAAGTTGTATCTGAAATATAGCAATGCTCCAAGTATTGTTATCTTTTGCAAACTTCACTATTTCAAATGAATTCTGTGGTGATGTATGTAGTGGAATGAGTTGTCAGCCAGGTTTGGCTGTGTTTTGTTAAAGACCTCTTGGGTACATTTGTTCCCATTCATCTTTTCAATTAAATGTTTCTCTTACCTGCTGTTTTAGTAAGTTCACGAAGCTGCTAATCTGTTACATGTTGCTTATTAAGTATACCTGGCTAGTGACTTCCAAACGATTGTTACCAGCATGCTTGCAAAGAGTACTCTGACTTTTCAAGCATTTCCTTATTCTGTAAGCTTATATGGTATGTGCACAAAGGAAGCAAAATATTAGACTGTACAGAATGGTGTTCACTGAAAACATTTTTTATTTTTGTAGATGTGCCTCTTCATTTTCACCTTGAAACATTATTTAAAAACAGTGAAATAGGAGGAGATCTTGCTTCAAGTCAAATTGTAGGCGACTGTATCTTATCACCATCACCTGGTATGTCATATTTACAAATTTTGTACTTCATTCTGACTTTTACCGCCTTCATACTTTTTTGCTAAGTAAATAAAATCTAACAAAAGAATAAATGTAAGTTCTTAATTTTTAACATTCACTTTTCACAAATTGCACACAGAATATACACAGGAGCTGTGTATCATTTGTGAGGTCCTGAGTTTGATCCTCAACACTAAAAAAATGAAAGAATAAGTAAATGAAAGAAAATACACAGGAGCAATCTTTTAAAAAATGCATAACTGTATGAAAATTATGAAATACAACTGATAAACAGAAAATACAAGGAAACAAAAAAGTTCCTGTACGGGAAAACTGATAAGAATAACATTCTCTGTTAGTTCATGTTTAATTCAGTTTAACTTGAAGTTCTTATAGATTTGGTTAGCTTAAAATAATTCCACAGGCCACCAAGAAGACTAATATTCAAGAAAATTCAGTTTATCTCAACCACATATGGAAACATGCCAAAACTCTTTAATAATTAGCACATAGATTCACAAAATGAAAGTATATAGTTTCTATTTTATTTGTATCATATGACCAGGAAAGAATTCTATCAGAAGTGAAGAATCATACAATAACCAGTATTGGTGGGTTATTTTGAGAAAAATACTGTATTCATTTCATATCATTCATCAGAATGAATTTTAGTTGGTTCCAATAATTTTAAAATTAAAACTACATTATAATGAAATATTTGTGATTGCTCCAAAGAATGTAGAGACACCTGTCTAGGCTTAGAATTGGAAAATTATGTGCTGTGTCTGCAACATGAAAATCTTTGTGACATCAAAAAGTCTTACAAACTAAGACAAATTATTTCTCGATAAAATGACTACTTAAAAAATTTAAAATCTGCAGACCCAATGAATAGCTATTAAAATGGGAGTTATATTATTAAAAAAAAAAAATCAGAAGCTACTAGAGATGGAGGTGCAACTCGGGGTAAGAAAGCCTCAAGTTCAATCCCCAAAACAGAAAAGGGAAAAACTTGCTTCTACAGATACCCTAATAGAGAGGAGCTGCAAGGAATAAAGCAGGCCAAACCATGTGACAAAGAAAATACAAAGTATGCCTGATTAAACTTAAGGATTTTCATGAAGAAAATGTCAGCATTTCACTGAGGGACATAAAAGAATGTTTCTATATGGAAAGGAACACTTTATTTTGTTGAAAGACTTGTTACTTGGCAGTTTTCCACAATTTATCAATAGTGTTAATTCTAATCAGAATTAGAGATATCAAAGTTTTATTGTGAAGTTTACACAGATGTTGGATAGAGAAGTCTATAAAAGATCAGAAGACGTATCAGATATCAAAATGTTATGATCATTAAAATAATGTGGTACTGGTAGAAGCCAGAGTAAGGTTAAACAGAAAGGCCTTAAGACAGACTCAAACAGTCTCTCTATGACTTGGTGGTATTTTCCTATTGTATAGAAAGGGTGGTTTGGTCAGTAAATATTCATGATGGCAACGATGCATTCTTTATTGGTCAACACTGGTTGAAGAGCTTTAACTTCAGCATTTTTATTAACCTGTGAGGTCACTACTGTTACTGCTCTCAAATCACAGCAGAGTAGTGGTAGACCTGATTCCAACTCAAGCAGTCCGGCTCATAGTGCATGCTCTGAAGAACCAACTTTAATCAGTGATCAAGAGCACTAATGATGATTCATTAAATGTGATCTGACAGCACATTAAAAGAAATTTAAGATGAGTGACACTAAAAAATGTATTTCAGATGGATTAAAGGGTTACATATTAAAAGTGATGTTGAATTGGAAGAAAAGCCAGGTGCAACTGGTGTTAATGAAAATAACACCTAATATTTACCAAGAACTTGTGTCACACAGGTTACTATTTCTGCTGGTCTAGTATTATGATCAGTTCTAGTAAAAAAAAAAGTTACTACAGTTCTAACAGGCACTGTAATATTTCAGATAACATTAAGAACTGATGTAAGCCTTTTGGAAAGCACTATAAGATAAATTACAAAACCTTTACTTGAAGTGTGTGTTTTTAATAAGATCACTGTGGAGGAAAAAAAAACTTGTTTATTTTTGTATCTACTCAAAATAAATGTTGACTGAACTTGTAACCGTATTCTGATCCAATTATTCCATTTTCAAGAATCTAATCCCACCAAACATGAAACAAAACTTTTCACAAACATTCATCTCAACATTTTTGTGATAATGTGAATTAGAAACAACTTGAAAATAGGGAAATGGTTAGATTTTATGGTAAATATGCAATCTTAAAAGTCCATGAAAAGACACATACTTACCAAAGATCATGATAAAAAGGGACAGGAATGTTTTACTTCTGTATTTGATACAATTATAACCATGAACAAAAGAGCTGCATATCCATACACTTACTTTTCAGCCAACCCAAGCAACCTGAACATAAACCAGTTTATAGATATGCGTAATTTGTCTTATGTAATTTAGCATTGATTATATACACATATGCTATAAGTTTATTAGTGTTTCATTCTGACATACAGATGAAAAGATAATTATGAAATCTGCTTAAAATATTATAGAAAAAAATGGGGGCCAGAGAGATGGCTCAGTGGAATAAGTGCTTCCCTGGCAAGCACAAGGGCCTGAGTTTAATCCCTGGTTCAAAAAAAAAAAAAAAAAATGGTTGGTGCAGAGATGAAACAAGATTGGTCATGAATTGGTCACTGCTAAAGCTGAATGACAGGTAGATGGCAGTTCATTATTCTTAGTTTTGTGTGTGTACATTTAAAATTTTTCTACAGCATACAGTTGGGGGGGGGGAGCACAAAGGACAAGGAACAACTAGCCATGCCTAGTGGAAAACAGACTGGGAAGAACACATTATGTTCATGTATCTTTTCATAATGTAATCCTACTCACTGGGATACTGAGATTAAACTTTGTTTAAAGGGCAAACATATATCCTGAACACGATTATATTAAGACTCTCCCTAATAGCAATAATTTCATTATGATCTTAATGACAACTGTTAATTCCAAAAGCTACGGAATACCTAAATGATTTTATCTTTAATCAGAATATAAAACCATATGTAGAAATGAATATAGAATAAAAAGAAAACTGTACTTTTACTAATTAAAATTTGACAGCATTTGAAATATATATGAAGTATGAAATGTATAGATATGCATATGATTGAAAGTTTGTGTAAAAGTGAAAGTACATATGTTAGAAGTTAGATTTTATTTCTACTAATTAAAAAAAAGCAATGTAAATGTGGCAGGCATAAAATTCATACCATCAATGTAATGACGTGTTCACTACATGACACACTGGAATAGGATGAAGAATGGAATACACTTGAGATGAGGGCTGCAACACTATTAGACACACCAATAAGGTATTCTTTGGTGTAATAGTTCCTGCGTTTATCCTCTGTTAACTGTCCTAAATAGCTGGTCATTGACTTTTCTTTCACTGTTAGTGTTTTCTAGTACAACCAGAATTTCACATTTTGAGCACCTGTGTGTGCCAAGCAGACTATTATGTGTTGAAGAATCAAAGCTGAATCATAGAAAAACAAATTATAATGCAACAGGGAAAAGTAGGTATAAATGAACTAGAGCATGATGAGCGGGTGTGTGACAAAAATCCCGTAGTAAAGAGAGAGCGTGCGACTCTGCTCAGGACAAGGCAAAAAGAAAGGTTAAGTGAATTAGAAATGGGCTGACAGAACTCCAAGAAGGTGCTGATGCCAAGTGCCACCTTGTAAATTACAGAGGACTAGGGTGAGGTGTTCTGTATGAGTATATCTGAAACATTTTATACATACTTGTGGGGGACACTGTTAGAATGCGGAACCTGATTCATAGTCTGGAATGGGCCCTGTGATTCTGCATTCTGACGAGGCCCCAGGAGATTCAAATGTTATTGGTCCATGCTGTATGACAAAGCTTTAAATACTGGAAACTGACATTCATCACAAAGGCCTCAAATGGCATGATATGCTCAGGTATCTACAAAGAGCCCGGTATTCCTGCAGAGTAAAATGCACAAAGGAGAGCAAACTTTCTCATGTGCCTTGCCACACAGTCTGGACACAGCATATGTTATCTGTTGAATTCTGTGTTTACTGTGACACTGCTGACTTCAGATAATAAGCAAACAGGCAAAAGTCACACTGTACAGGAGAAGAGTAAGTACATGATAAATCTCAACATGAGGAAATACTGCACCAGAGAAAACCAATTTGAGGGGCTTTACTTATCCAAAAACTAAAGGCTATGAAAAATGAACGTGGAACTCTTGCAGATATGCAACTACAAAGTGACCTGGCAATTAAAAGCAACAAGGGATTAGAATTCTCTATAAAGAAAATATAGGAGTAGCTGGTAAAATTTGAACAAAGTATACAGATTTGCTAATGGTGTTGATTTCTTACAACTGTATGGCTTTGCAAAAGAAGGTCACTTTCTGAGAAATGCACATTTATCTATCTAAAGGAGCTTCGTGTCAGAAATGAGTAAAGGAGGTAAAGCAAATGTGATAAAATGTTAACTTATGGGAAATCTGAGTAAAGGGGACATGAAAATTCCAAGTTTTCTTAAGTTGGTGTTAAATATTTGAGGTATAGATAGATGAGGAAGAACCCAAAATCACAGGGCTCAGCTTTTCAGAAGACTGTCAAGATCAAGTGTTTCAAATCTGTATTCATCATACAACATTCAGACTAAAAGAATGACAAATATTGCTAAAACAGACTACAGATTTTTATTTCCCAGCAATCTGTATAACCAGTGATCTTTTACTAGTGCCAACCTCATTATCATACCAACTCCCTAGCCCTATTCTTTTAAGACATCTGAGCGATTATTCTTCTGAGACCCCAAAACGCTACCTACACAGGTGACTCCTACCGGCCATTGTTTTCTCACCCTGTTCCCTTATTGTGCACCACACAGCTACTGTTCAGGCCACAGATTGGTCCCACTCCCTGGGCTTTGAACAGCTGTTTTCTCTTCTTTTCCCTCAACACCAGCTATTTCTGTTCTGTTGTAAAATCTGTCACCTTGGGAAGAAAAAGCAATAGAAGGTTCTATCATCTGTGGCTTGCCTAAACTTCAGCAAAATACCAGCAGCTCTACCACTGGCTACACCGCCACTCTCTATGAGACATACGCAGGATTACACACACACACACACACACACACACACACACACACACACCCCATCCCATCCACCATCTATTTTTGGGTGGTGGGAAATCTTAGGGACTATTCTGGAATTCTACCTACCGTTTTCCCTTGCTATTTAAGCCACTGATTTCTTACACTATGTCAACTGAAATCTCATTTCGCTAATCATTTTAACTGTTGTCTTGTAACTGTCAGAGTATCTCCATCTGTGATGGGCTATATGACTGATCTTTCTTTTTCATTTGCTCTGTTCAACACGGTTCAAATGAATTCTCTAAATTTTCAGGGCTATTGTAATTCTGGAAAATCATCTGGATATCCTTTCTTAAATTACCTATTTATTTACTCTATTTTTTATTACTCTACTTTGATTTTTTTTTTCTTTCTCATATTTTCTGTTACTGTTAACTTTAAGTGGTCAAACTTTTCTTCCAGGTCCAATCTTGATTTTTACCTTTGTCTATTCTGTTACCCAGTTTAATTAATGCTGCTTGTATTTAGCTGAACAATTACAAGTTTACAAGATTTCTCTGGAGAGTCCTCTTTTCTTTACAGTTTTGATTGTTTTAAAGACGTGTTAATCTGTGTTCTGTAAATGCTCCACTTACTACTTCTTGAGCGGGTTCATCCACTTGTAGTTTCTACTAATATGAGGTCCAGAGAGACACTATTCAAAATGATAAAGCTAACATTTATTAAGCACTTAACTAGGTCAGACACTAATTCCTCTAATACGGGAATTTACTCACTTAGTCTTCTTAGCCCCAGGTTACCTATTACTCGTTTTAAAGATGAAGAAATAGGTATGGTGGTATTAAGTGTCTGAAAATTGTGTTAAATTCATTGTTTTAAAAAAGTGAAAGAAGCCAGGCATGGTGGCAAAGGCCTGTACTCCCAGCACTTGGGAGACTGGTGGGGAGTGAATTTTTTTACAGAATGACATTACAATTTTACTCTGAAATTATCTCTGGTTACAATAAAATTTAACAAATATCCACTAAATGAAATCTGGTTCTTGCTCTCACGGAGTCCTAGTATAATGTGACCATGGTGCATGGACCTTTCTTGGTCCTAAATTACTCCCAGATTTAAGAGTAGGACCTCAGGCTTCAGATCCTATCAACGAAGAACTAATCTGGAATGCTTGGAGAAGACCACCTTCCTTTTACAACTTCTTCAAAAAAAAAAATCAAAATGGAGCAAAGAGCAAACAGAGCACTCCATGAGAATGTTTTTAAGGAATCCCATTACATGTATTTTTAGCTTAAGAGTTGTTCATTTTAGTATTGCACTACGTGCAATTTTACATGTAGTAAATACTGTTATCTTAAAAATACTGCACTGTTATAACTAACTAAAAACAGATTAATATCTTCATTATCTGTGTTATGAAACTAAAACCTCACATTTTCTTTTCATTTATTTTAGTAAACAGTACTTCTTTGACTCAATGGAGAAATGGATATTCACCTATGTGTAAGCCTCAAGTAAGGTCAGAATCTTCAGTACAACTGTTACAGGGAAGAAAGAAAAGACATTTGAGTGAGACAGCAGTAGGTAGGTTAAAATGAGGATATGATCATTAGTGTTAAATACTGAAAATAAATAAAATTTTGCTCTTCAAAGAACCCCTGTATCACGGTTACTTATAACCCAAAACAGTCACTAATCACACAAAACATCGAAAACGGTGACAGTATATTCATGTAGCTAATTCACAATTTGTAGACTAGGTATCTACCCACTTTATAGCAATTAAGAATTTCTTGCCTATGTTTCCTATCAATTGTTGTTTCGACAGGATTTAGAGTCAAAGGTTGCTCTGGATTCAAATAGGAGTACAGGATCCTCTTACAGAAATTTATCACCATTTTAAATTTCCCAGGAGCAACAAAAACAAACAAACTCCCCAGGAGTTTGAAAAAGAGGTCATGACTTAACTGAGGCACTCAATCATCTTGTTTAGTTCTCCTTGGAGTCAAACATGCAGCTTAAAAATGACTAAGGAAGCTGGGTGTGGTGGGGCACTCCTGTAATCCCAGCACTCAGGAGGCTGGAGGAGAATCATTGTGAGTTCAAGTCCAGCCTGAGCCGCACAGTGAGACCCTTTCAGAAAAAAAAAAAAAAAAAAATTAAAATGTATTTAGTACAGGGTCTCTCACTACACTCGTTGTGATCAAACTCTTTGTGATCCTCCTGTTTTCAGCCTCCCAAGTGCTGGGATTATAGGAGCATGCCACTAAGTCCAGGCTCAATCGCTGTCTCAGTGCACCCCCAGTGCGGTACCAGCACGAAAATTAAGATATTTTTAAAAGATCAAGAGTGACCAAAGGTTCTTTGTGGGGATAAAGAGACAATCACCAGTTAAAATTGGCAAGATATATTTTGATTAGCAAGTTATCTAGTATTTTTGGATCTTATTCATTGTTCCATTGAGCCTAACACTGTATTTCTTAGTCAAGTATTCTCCAAATATAACATACCCAGTAAATTAGGAACTAATGATATCCACCATGTACTGAAATAGAATTATATAGAATGGGTTTAATGCCATCTCTAGTATCTTTAGAAATGTCACCAATCACTACCTGATGGTCAAAGACTGGCACAAAATGAACCAGCTCTCACATTTCTAGATGTTTCACTATTTGCTCTATCATCTCACTCCTAAGTATGACCAAGAACCACCTAGCTTTTAAGGAACTTTCATACACGCATACTGAAACACAGGACAACTGTATCTCTTAATAATAGCATTATAAAATACATCCCCTAATATGTAATAACAGTGTTTCACTGGAATTGATATTTTAGATCCAACTTCAAGTGTAATGCATATACTATACGAGGGATAGAAGAATAAAGTGATATACTACAAAGAAATAGCTAGACAATTCCCAAAGTGCAGGATACTGGTCTAGTCCATGTAACAAGTCACGTCATGAAAAATGAGCTATTCTACATTGTAAGAAACCTAGGAGACAATAACCAATTCCATTGGGAGGATCCTGATTCAAAGAAATTAACCTGTAAAGGATACTTTGTAACAATTGAGGAACTATAAATGTAGGCTGCTGGTTAATGGATTTTGCATTATACCAGAAAACACTCTTACTAGGATTCCTACTGAAGCAAAATAGGCAATGACAGAAGATAAGTAGATAAATGCACAAATAGGGAATGAAAACAAATGGAACTTGAAATATCAATAAAAGTAAACAACTAATCAATATCTAGACAGAACAATTTTACCCCAAAATGATCCTATAAAAAACATACCAGAAAAAAAAATAAAAAAATAAAAAACATACCAGAGATTAAAAAAGAAAAAAAACAAACAAACCTTAGAAATTAGTACTTTAGCTGTAGAAACTTTTTCAAAACTCGAATGCTCAGATCAACTTAAAGAAGATGAACAAAATGAGAAAACAGATTAAAAAATTATGATCAGGCCTAACAGTGCAATTGCTAATACTGGTACGAGTCACAGACAGCACAGACATGACAGAGAACAGACGGTACCACTCAAGAAATATGAAATATACTGGATTACAGACCACAGTCCCAAAAAATAGAAAGGCTTGTGGATAGCAAGAGTGTGGATGTGGCTCTTCTTTTATAGTTTCATTTGTTCTCTGACGCATGAATTTAAAAAAACAGTAATAGTCACCCCTCACCTAACTGGGAAAATAATTCTAATAATCTTGACCATGTTTACTGTGTGACATTCTCAATGGTTCTTTCCATGGCAGGAGAAAGGGATAGAGGTGAGGAATTTGCTTTCCAACACACAGAACCAGGATCCCATTGCAATTTTACCGCTGTCTCTAATTTCAATGTTTTATCAAGAACCCAGAATTCATCATCACAAGTAGGTTTTTGTTTTGTTTTGTTTTGTTTAGACTGAACTCTAAATTTGCTTTATTTTGAAATAAAACCCAAATGGTTTGCATAATATTTTCTTAATCTTTATCAGTCTTATTTACTAGTATATTTAGAACTACCTTACTAGGAAACTGTAAATTTGGATGGAAGCTAAGCTTTTTACTTAGAAGCTAAGAATTTATTAATCTTTGGTTATGAACTTTTCCTGCTAAAAGCATTTATCGTGGCTGTCTCTACTCTTTAACATATGGAGCTAAATACAGTTTGGCGATAGAGAGCTCAGGAATTATGCTGCTGTTCATCTGTCTGGTTTGTCTTATGGCCAGGGACTCCAGAGCTCAAAAGATGAGAAGGCTTAGAAAGAATGGTCTGACTGAAGGACAGGGACAAGGAACACATAAAGCTCGTGATAATTACCTCTCTAAAAGCTTGACCAAAACAGTATTTCATAAACCTTTCCTAACCAGAAGCATGTACCTTTGTATACACTCCCACAAAGAGGTTTGTCTTAATTTATAAAATACAGGCATGCATTTCTAATTGGTAACATTTTATAATCCGACTTAACTAAAACTATGCAAGAGTTGTACTGCATATTATCTTTTGTAACTCATGAAAGACTATAACCACCGGTGAGTAGATAAGGCTGTAAAGCAGTGCCATGATCCTGTTTTGCAGAGTTCTGCACGACGGAGGTTAAGAAGTGAAAGCTCTTATGACATAGACAACATTGTGATTCCTATGTCATTAGTAGCTCCAGCTAAGTTAGAAAAACTCCAGTATAAGGAAATACTGACTCCAAGGTATGTATACTTACATCTTTCTATTTTGCTTTCCTCTTCTCCTTCAAAAAGCTTAAATTTGGAGTGAATTCAGAATTTTAACTGACAAAAGAATGCGTCCCTTCTTTCTGCCCTACTTGTACCACCACAGAGGAAAAAAGGGTGATAGAAAATTTTACATTACTCATGCTGAATAAAAAACGCCATTTACTTCAGCAGTGTTTTACCAACTACATTATGTATATAGTATTAAAGGTACTTTAGTGATGTTTAAACCTATAGTAACACACGATGCTTGCCCACATAAGACATTTTTGCATGAGGTTGCAAAGAGTTCAAGGTTTGCATGGTGTATCACACTCTTAAGATAAAACACCTATGATATGGAAACTAAGATTTTGATATCCTGCCAAGTCAGTAATAAATCCATTATCTTAAAAAGACAAATGAAAAGCACTGGGAAGACATCCATGAGGTTAGAGGCTATTTATACAGGGACACCATAACAAAGGCAGACAGACAAGTGTGTAAGGCTTAGGGAGACCTGAGGTTTGGCACAGGCTGGTAAAAGGGGTTAAGGCTAGAAAGAACCAGGTTATGGAGGTCCCTGAATGCAATATATTGAGATGCTATTGGCAGTGATGTTAGCACAAATGTTTAAATAATGATTAGTTTCTTAAAAGTTTAGTCATAAGCATCACACCAGGAAGTATACACAGAAATGACTGGAAATCAAGATATGAGCTACAGTTAATTCTATCTCTATTTTAATTTCATAATTTGTCTCATTAATTCATTAATTACTCTGAAGCACTGAGAAGTAGCCTAGAAAGTATGTGAGCTGTTAGGGAAAGGAATGTCAAAATTTTCTTCCAAAATGAGCATTTTCTTACCTAAAACAATGGGGAGACACTACAAATCAAGTCTTTTCTCCTCGTTTTTGGCCAAGCCAACTTATTGCCAACATGACTGACTTAGTTCAGTATCAGTACATACCTGTAACATATAAAACACAGCTGTGTAACATGTGATCTGATCACTCTAAGAAGTAACGACTTTTCATCCTGGGGCTGGAGAAGTGACTCAATAGAATAAGCGCTTCCCTGGCAAGCTCAAGGGCCTGAGTTCAATCCCTAGTTCCAAACAAAAAAACAAAAAAAGACTTTTCATCCTTCTCTCATAGTATAAACACCTTTTGTCTTATTCATTTTAATACTTCCATTTGAATTATGAACATTCTAAAGAAAGGCTAATTTATTTAGCTATACTTAAAATTGCTACTTTAGGAAAGATTAATAAAGGAGTTTGAAATGTTATCTTCAACAGCTGGAGGACGGCTATTCTTCAGCCTTTGGATGAATGTCACTCAGGAGAAGAGGTAAGCGACCTTTCACTTAAAGGGAAACGACTTGATATGATGGCATGCTTAGTCTGACATTTAAGGACTAAAGGGGAACACAAATCTTAATTTCTACTAATTTTGTTCTTTACACTTACATCTCTGTGCACATCTGAGTACAAAAGACAGAAGAAAAAAATGTTATTTACATGAGTTGACACTGAATTTCTATGAGAAGCTACACCTATCTCAGTATTACCCATTTTTCTCTCTACAAGGAGACTTAGTCTCAAATTACTCTTACCTATGATCCCACAAAAATATTAGGGTCAATATGCTTTAGAATTTGGAAGATTTTAGACTTTTGAAATACAATGTGGTCCTTCCATCAGGCACTCGTTCTACAGTTCAAGACAGTATCACGGAGAGATATGCACAGGAAATGGGATATGCACTGGAAATGATCTCGCTCCATTTCAAATCTGGCTCTGTATGAATTGTATAAAGAAAGTTTTTTTAGATTTTTTGGATTTTTGAATTATAGGTAAAGGACTAGGGACTTGTACAGATAAAATTAAATGAAGTCAAGAACAATTACAGGGAAGAATACTGTCTAACTGCAAAGCTATGCTCTGCAGAAGCAGTACAATGTAGTGTGGAAGATACGTGGTTTCTGTCATATAAGTGTCTCTGCTGGGCATTCAGAGCTTTCAACGGCCAGATGCACATTTGCGTTAATGTCCTTCCCACCTCTAAGCATTCTAATTCACTAGTCCTGGCCAGGAAACTCAAAACACCTATATATCATAATCCAAAGTTATCTAGATTAGATGCTTATAAGCATTAAATAAAGTCTGATTTATCTCAGACAACAGTTCTCAGGTTTTTTTCTTTCATATTAACAAGTTCTTAGAACAATGTGTATTCTGTAATGAAAATCATTAAAAATTGTGTTGAATGAACAGAGACTTGAGAATATTTTATGGGAGGTGTGGTTACTGCAAAGCCCAGCAGTTTATATAATCTAGGTAAATCTTCACAGGGTGTGAACAGTTAAAAAGTTCCAGCTGGGTGCAGTGCTATAGCCTAGTACTATGGAGGCTGCTGCAGGAAGGTCGCTGCAAGTTCAAGACCAGACTAGGTTATGTCGTGAGTTCAAGGCCAGCCTGAACTACCGAGCAAGACCTATCTCAGAAAAAAGTTTTACATTCTCATTTGAAACTAAACTAACATTTATTTTCTAGACTAATACAGATTGCATTTATTTTAAAAATAAGTTGGCTTGCTATTTACTATCTATCGTTTTCTAGATAAGGACACTTTGAAACCCATGTCAGATTTCAAAGTGTCTCCCATAAAGCAAAATATTTTTCTAATTCCAGGTAGAAGATCTTTCTGATGATGTCTTCTCTCTAAGACACAAAAAATATGAAGAGAGAGAGCAAGCCAGGTGGTCACTGTGGGAACAAAGCAAGTGGCACAGGAGAAACAGCAGGCAAGTACTGCACACTGAATATCTGAAGCATAGGGTCCACATGGGATGAGCTCTGTGGCATTCGGGGGAGGCCACCAGAAAGGACACCCTAAGTGCCGTCTGCACCAGCAGCTGCTCTGGTCCGAGCGTGTGCAGACACGCTGCATCTACTAGGATTGCGTATTTAGGCTAATTACAGAAAGGTACAGTGAGTTGCTGCCATTTTACTCGATTACCCATGAAAGTTCTCTCTTTATAAAGGTCACAGTGGACTTTAACATAGATCTAGAATTTAGGACATGCATTTTAACTATTTCAAAAATATTTTAAAGCAAAATTTCTCAAGAAACCTATGTAGTATAAAAACCAAACACCTAAAGTACTTTTAAAAATATAAACAGCTGTTGGAGAAGGAAGAATAAACAAACATATTTAGTGACTACAGATTCTATGGTGTTTTACACTAGGTATAGTTTATTACTTTTAATATAGCCAGAACTCAAAAAGCAAGATAATATTAAGCCTGACAGTCACTTCAGCTAAGAGGCATCTCTCATTTATTTAGTATTAGTATAAAACACCTTTTCTGTTTAGGTCTATCTCAATTTGCTGTTAAGTCCCTGTTCAGGTTTTCTTAACGGAGATGAGATTCTGAAATTGTCATCTTTTCCACATTTGAGAAATAAAACTGCCTAGAAATACAGAGGAAAATATGAATTGAGGCTTCCATGATGGCATTACACTAATTATACTGAGATCAAGGATTGTCAGACTAAGACATTGCCCTTGTCTTCCAAAACACAAAAAGCTACATTACATAACAAAAGCACTAGTATAACTTCGTAGAACAACAAAATACTATATGTAAGCCTTTGAGATGTAGCATCAGGAAGATGATAAATAATTTTTAAAAATCTATTATGCAGAACTGTTTAAAGGAAAACACTAGGCTGACTTAGTGATACACTGGGTTCCCAAAATGTTAAGATCTAAAGAAATAACAAATGACGTCCATTTTCTTGCTAGAGCTTACAGTAAAAATGCTGAAGGTCAGGAGGTGCTCCTGAAGGACTCCCCGAACGAGCTCAGTGGCAGTCAGCCCTGCGCCATGCAAAGCCCGCCTGAGCTGCTGTCAGTGTGCCATGACCCGTGCGCACAAGACTCACGCTTTCCAAATGAAAGTCAAGAAACCAAGGTGTGTGTATGGTTAACTTCACAAGCTTTTACTTTTTTGAAAAACTTACGTGTTGAAGCTGCTTACTGCAAATACAATTTCATCATTGTGTACCAGGCAAGATCTGAGCTGAGTAAGAATCAGATGTCTACTGCAGCACTCCCGCTCTATCACTGACAGCAGTCGTTTTTACATGCAGCACACCAGGACCAATTTCCACCTGCTTCTTTACCCTTGAGGGAGCAGGGATGCTACTGAAAGTTCATTAGCAAGCAAATCTGATTAATGCCCAACAGCGGCCAGGTTGTAGTAAATGCCAGCTGCTATTTCTCCTCCTCCTCTAGCATGCTTGTACTTATGACCTCATAAAGCCAGTTCCTACCTTGAGAACAGTGCTTTTTAATGCTGAATCCACCTGCGTGCCTTTCTTCATACATGGATGCCACAAAAAGCTGCAGATCTAGAAGGGAAAGCGGAGTCTATGGAAATCAATAGGCACACTGCAGAAAACTGAGGGAAGAAAAAGTCAAAAACTAAGGGGCTTCCCCAGGTACTCTTAAACTAAAAATGAAGACCAGTGCCCTGTGGCAGCATTTCTTTTTATTTTATATATTTAGTACAGGGTCTACAGGGTCTCACGGCACAGATCAGACTTATAGTGATCCTCCTGTTTTCTGCCTCCCAAGTGCTGGGATTATAGGTACACACCACCATGCCCAGTCTCAATTGCTGTTTCAGGGGCCAGGGCCAGCACAGCATGCCTGGGATCAAACTTCTGGTCCCTGAGTCTACCTTAGTAGGTGCTTTGATCTGCTGAGCTATCTGGCTAGTCTTTTTTGTTTGTTTTTGAGACATGGTTTCACTATGCAATTCAGGCTGGCCTTGAACTCGCTTTGTAGCCCAAGCTGGCCTTAAACAGTGATCCTTTTGGCCTCCTGAGTGCTGGGATTACAGGTGTGTACTGCCATGCCCAGCTGCATTTCCTTTTTTTTGGGCAGAACCGGGAATGGCGCTCAGGCCCATTCTACTGAGCTATCTCCCCAGCCCCGACTGATATTCCTGGCCCCCATTTCCCTTTCCTGACAGCAGCAAAATGAAGAAACAACTCACCACTCAATTCTCAGAATGCCCCATTTGAATTCATAATGCACAAAGGAAAACGCATACGTTTACATGCTACACAACACAATGGTTATTATTAATAAATGAACTTAAACAAAACAAACTGAAACTTAACTGAAAAAGTTTTCTCTTTCAGTCTTTGTGGTGGGAACGAAGGGCTTTTCCATTGGTGGAAGAAGACACAGCAGCCTTATCCTGCCAAGACGAAGGAAAGGAGCAGCCAGAGAGGCCAAGCACAGCTTTCCATAGCGACGTCTCCGGCACCAGTGCATCCAAGAATGGATACCATCTAAAAAACCAGTTAGATGAAATGGAACAACATAGAGCCTTAAGTCTAGGACTTACTAACGGTAAAAAAAAACAGGTGACAGGGAATAGGTTAAAAAATTATGCAAATGAAGAGAAGGCAGGAGGCAAAACAAGCCGTGTTCTGGACCTTTCATACCCGCTCATCCTAATTCCAGAATAAGAGAACAGACCGCATGTATTCATCTTTTATGCTGTGAAACAGGCAAGAGAGGCCTCTTTTTCCTTCTTGAAGCGCAGAAGTAGCTAGCTTTTCACCTAGAGACATTTTCCTCATTTATATTTATCATACAAATAATAAGCACCAATATATTAACTGCTACAACTTGATGTCCAATCATATTACTGGGTGATTTCTAGGACACCACACCTCTCCAACACAAACACCCTACATTCACACATACACAATCATCAAATGATGATTTTTTAAATTCCTATGACAATTCACTGAAATTCCCTCAGAAACATACTGAAATATATACGTGTATATAATATATACACATATGCATAGTTTTAAAACAGCATCAGCAATGACCCATTCCACTTGCAAATCCACATATGGATCACCCTATGAAACGTAGGCTGTAATATATAGAGTACAGGCTTCCAGTGAGGAAAGACACCTAAGAGTTTGACTGTGGAGAGGGTATACTTTTGTATTTAATGTGCTTAAACAACAGAAATTATTTAAGGAAATTCTTCTGCCAGATAATACAATATTCATCTATTCAAATGGTGACATCTACTGGACTAACCCACAGGACTGTGTTTATTCTTAACAGAGTTAAGATAAGCAAATCAAGAGTTAAATAGTGCAATTTTAAGTGACTGTATCTTTGAAAACTCAACTTGTTTTGCCTACATTATTTTATGTGTCTCAAGAAAAATTAACTTAAAATGTGAAACCAATACAAAAGGCCTTCATTATAAGTTTTTTAATGGTAGAAATTCTAGTTAATTTGGCCCTATGTTGTCATAACTATACAGAAAGAACCCTATTCTTATCCGCACCCTATGCATTAAAATCTTCAAAGGACAATACTTCAGTATTAGATACTAAGGAGCATACATTAAAGAAGATTCCTTTTGAAACTATTAAGCTATTTTTTTTTCCTATATGAAAGTTGAGAATAATCTGTATGTATTTATATAACTGAAAATCCTGGCCATCAGGCCTGGTCCATGGGACTTAACAGTAAGGTTTTGTTCAAGATTGGAAATTGTACTGTTCCCTTTGAAGGAAAAAACAAATCCAATTCAATACTGACGAACTTTTGCTTGTAATTTTACTGTACATGTGTTTTTAAAGAAGAAGAAAACAAAAGCCAGACAACCCTAAGCTGTCCTGGTAAATAAATTCAAATCTTTGTCATACCTGATATTATATAATCTTCTATGTAAGTTTTTTAATTAAAGTTATTTCTATATACCTTGTGTGATACAATTAAATGCTATCTATTCATGGCACATGTTCCTCTAACCTTAGCCAAAATTAAAACAGTACTAGGGAACAAATTTTCACTTATACTATAGGCAAAATCTTAACCAAGCTCTATTCCAAACATAAGAATTAATGTAAATATTGAATCTTATCTCTCAAGAAATTTAATATTGGTCCTGTTTCTTCTTGCTGTATTTATCATTGAGTAAGAGTATTCTGAAAAATACAGTACCTGATAACATAGTTGGGAACACAGGTCCTAATACCTGAGCTCATGGACGAACTCTGTAGCCTGGCACCTCTTTGCCTACTTGATCTATTTTGGAAGAAAATACATCCTTGGGGTCAAGATCCACAAGTTACAGAACATTCTCAGCCACTTGATGCTGCTACAGGGTAAAGTCAGACTGAAAACTAAGAGAATGTTAAGCAAATGAAGCTTCTTTTGTTTTAACTCCCCTCTTCAGGGCTCTTTTAAGAAAAGGGGAGGGGGGCCAGAAATCCCCAGATCCTGCCCTACTGGGTCCTTTCCAATGGTGCCACCCTCTTGCTGTGCTTCACTTTCTTCATGTTAAAAAAGGAATAAAAATACCTACCCTTCCACCTACAGGAATAATTTATAGGTTTAATGAGATTATATGAAAATATAGCTGACAAAACATAAACTTACAGAATGCTAGCCACTTTATGCTGAGTATCTGCTAAGTTCTACAAATATACCAGCAGCTTCCATACCTCGCCTGGTGCTCAAAACAGCCTGCATGGTTTATACAGTTAGAGAACATTCAACATGTGAGTTAAAAGTACAGAAGGACGGGTGATTTGGCCACGGCAAACAGAAAAGGACAGAGTCAGAATTCATTCAACACAGTGGAAATTTCAAAGGAAGGCTTTACTTTTCCTTTCTACACAAAGCTAACAAACACAGCAGCAGCATCCAGCGCCCTCAAGAATGGTGTGTGAGATTAACAAGGCCAAGGGCTGGAAGAAATCACTGAATAACCAACCAGCTTTGGCAGTGCAAACATTCTGATAAACCCACACTTGCGTTTTAGAATCCCTGGGTTTCACATATTGCTTTTATCGTTTTTAATGCCTTGAATACAAGGGTAAAAGCGAAAAATCTTCCATGCAAGCCTACAGCTTGCTATTCCACCCAAGCTTCTATTTTTTAGTTCTACTCTATTCATATTATCAGGCTTATACACAAATCAGAAATAATATGAATTATGAAAAACAAAGATTCCCTTTGTTTTTAGAGAATAGCTGGGAAATAATAGAACATTCTTTTTAAAAACACAGAAAACAAATATTTTCATAGTAGCTAATATTCCCTCTTTAGGCATTAAGACATTTCTGTTTGAAACCTTAAGTCATATTTTTACACTATAAAAATCAATTCTCCCATAAAAACAGGGTATTTCATTCTAATCTTAAATTGTGTCACTAAAATGTAGTTAATACACACCAATTTCTAATCCTTCAGAACATTCTGTACCACAGAATTTAATCACTGGAACAATTGCTCAGGAAAGCAGCACTGCCTCAACTGAGATATGATCCGGTAGTCTATGTTGTTTTCCAGTGAAAAGGTTTCATAACCACAAACACTGGGTTTCTTGTGGTTTCATCAATCAAGGGAGCATTTCTGAGCAGCTTCTGAGCAAACATTTCTGAGTAAGTTGATCACAGATCTGGGATCTTCACTCCTCATAATGGCGCTGCCGGACACAATCATGTTAGCTCCCGCCTGCAAGAAGCGAATACTTAGGTTATGGCCTAAAGAAGGACAAGTGCCTGAAACGACTCTTGGATTACAGTTCCCATCACTGCCTCAAAAGCTGCTTTGAGGTGAGCACACTAAAGCAATCTAATTCAATGAGGTAGAAAATTAAAATGTTCAAGAATGAAAATACAATTATTTTTAAATGTTTTTAAGAAAAAAATCACTGTATTTGTAGTTAAATAAATTCTAAACTACGTAGTATCTCTGCTAATATTTAGGTAAGGTTTTTAAACCCTTTAAGGTTTTTCCCCAATACGTACCAATGCACCAACAAACACTAAAGAACAAGCTACAATTAATCTCTGACTTAATTGCATACTTTTGTGGATAACCTGAAAGGACAATTATCACAAAAATGTGAAACTCTTCATAAAATACTAGTGACAGTAAGTTTAAATAACCCCACTTGTATCAGGATAAATGGAATACGTATGCCTCCTTAACAGTCTTCAATGCTATGAGGGATGGGGAGATAGCTCGGTGGAATAAGTGCTTGCCTGGCAAGTGCAAGGTCCTGAGTTCTATCCCTGGTACCAAAAAACAAACAAAAAAAAAAAAAAAAAAAAAAAAAAAAGACTGAACATTCTTCAATGCTAGCAAGATTTTCAAAATGGTATTTTAGAAGAATGCAAAAGCAAAGAAATTAAAAGAAAAAAAGCCACCACTAAATTTAGCTCTGTACTTCCCTGGATTTGACTTGAGAAAATCCCAATCTGTTAAGTAATTATTTTAACAAAATGGAGAGGACAGCAACAGATAGTTATCCAGTAAGATGCTGGTCATATGATGATAATGCAATCTCCAACAACACTCTTCATGGAAATGATAAAAGCATCATGAGATTGCCATTTAACAGGTCTCTTCTTTGGAGCAGGAGTGTAACAGTTCAACATAAAGCAATCTACAAGGGACAAACGAATACACGCTCACTAATCATTCATGCGGCACTCCCCTCCTTCATAAGCATTTACTGCTGTCAACTTCTGACAGCTTGTATGTCAAGGAGAAAAGCACAGTTGCTGCAGAAGAAACCGGAAGTGCAGATCCAGAATACTGAATGAAAGCAGGCCACATACACGGCGTGATGGTGCACACCTGCAGTCCTGGTACTCAGCAAGCTTAGGACGTGGATTACAACTTCCAGGCTAGCCTAGACTTCCTAGTACAACCCCCAGCCCAAAGCAAGCAGGCCACGTAAGCAGTGATCACCTACAGCAGTACTCGAAGGGCTGACATCCTCTTATGATGCCTGGGAGCCCAACTATGCTAAGCAAGCTATGTGAAAACAAAACAAATGCATGTCACTGCCACAGGGTCAAATGGGAATTTTTTTTATCAAAACTTGTTCAGTTCTTACAAGTGACAAAGAGGTAACATTTCTAAAAAGTTATGATAATTAGGTCAATTACATTTCTGTATTTTCTTTACCCTTTTTTGGCAAAGCAATAACATATCTTTCTTTTCCCTAGTTTGGAAAAACTGCTCAGTCCAAGGACTTGGAGCTTAATGATCTTACAAAGAGCTGGCACTCAGTATACTCTTTTTCCATTGATGAGTATTACTGAAATAATCATGATTTACTATTTAACAGTGTATGTCATTTCAGAGATTGACTTATTGCTCTTCATTTTCCTAGTTTTACATTTGGGCAATAGCAACAACAAAATACTTTCTCAAGAAGGAAAATCAATTTAGGAAACAGGAGAAATGTCTTTGGCCTGCTCAACAGTGACAGGAAATAGGCCAAGTCACAGGCAGGCAGCATCTCACCTCTGCACATTTGTGGACAGTGTCAGGACCTACACCACCGTCGACCTCTATGTCCAGGGATGGAAACTGGGTTCTCAACCAGTGGACCTAGACATGTGAAGAGACAAGTGACTTTAAATAGGAAGGTAGGAAAAAAACAGCCCAGAGACAAAAATAAACAAAATCAAATAGGTCATTAGCTAGCCCCTAAAATGCCAAATCTCTCAAACAGAAGCTATTATCAATAAAAAACAATATGGGGGAACATATACTTTTTAATGTACAGAAATGAATTAGGCTTTATAAAGGGAGCTTTTTTCTGGTTGGCATGGTTTCGTCGAGCCTAGATTTTATAGAAAAAAAACAAAGGCAAACTATTAATACTCAAAGAAAACCCCAATATATTTAGAGGCTACAGAGATAGAGGTTTCAAAAGGTAATTTCCCAACAGGCAGACAATATCAGTGCTGCATCCAAACTTAAGTCTATGATAGCTACTCACATGGCATCCCTTACCCCTCACTTCCCTAACAAGACATCTCTATAAATGCCCTTTTAATGCAGGCTATATAAACATATCCAATATCAAATCCTTCTGTTACCTTTGGCATCATGTCCTCCATGAATTTCTGTCCTCCGAACCCAGGTTCTACTGTCATGACCAAGGCCATATCAATTTGATTAGCCCATGGTGCCAAATACTCAACTGTAGTTCCTGGTTTGATGGCAAGGCCAACCTGTAACAGAGACAAATGGGCTATGAAACATTAACAATTATCTCCCTTTATTACAGTGGCATATCAGAGCTAGTACAAATATCATAAAAAATAATAAATGGAAGCTATTCAGACCATTATATAAGGTTTTTTTTTTTAAAAGTCAACGTGGTTATCAAATATTAACAGTTCCAAGTAGCAGTAACTTGTAAGATCAATGGTATATATAATCCTGTCTGACAAATAGATTATACTTTATCCCCGGCTTCATAGCTAAACAACTATTTATGTTAGGTCTTCATGTATCAGTTCCTGTTTTCTACCAAATACTCCACAAACTCAGCAAGGGAATAATATAAAACATTATTGGCTGGGGAGATAGCCGGACAGTCTAAGCACCTGCCTGGCAAGAGCAAGGACCCGGGTTTGACCCCTGGTACCACATGCCATGCCAGCCCCAGAACTCCAGGCGCATGGTGCAGGCCATCAAAACTGGCTGTGGTGATGCACACCTCTAATCCCAGCACTGGGCAGGCTGAAATAGGAGGATCACTCCGAGTCTGAGCTGCACAGTGAGAGTCTGTATCAAATAAATTAAAAACTATAAAATAATACTGCTGTCACAGACTTCTTACCTTCATCCCATTCTCTCGGATATCTTTGATCAAAGCCCCTGGGTTGTCCGTAGCCTCAAGATGAAAGGTATATTGATTGGCTCCTGCTACAGCCATTGGCTTCACCCACTGTTCTGGCCTGGCCACCATCATGTGCATGTCTAGTGGGAAGAGACACGGCTCCTCAGCATCACAGGAAGGCAAGTACCTGGCTCCCTTTACTATGGCCACCTATAGTTTCGGCCATCTTGAATTTAAATTCTCCTGGCATGGCAAAAATTACTATGCTATACTGCAGTCCAGGCAGCTTCCCTGTAATCTGAAGACAGGGTTTAATTAAATTTATTTACTTCCTCACCAAGTTTTTTTCTCCACAAAAAACATGTTGCTATGTATGAACACTAACAACCAGAAGTCAGGAAACCCTGTTTCAGGCCCAGAAAATGCTACCCTAAAGGACTTAAATAACTCTTACTAGCTGTAGAACCTATGTGCCCTCAGCTAATTACTGTGACAGTCCATTTATTCTTTCAATCAACTTTACTGAGCACTTACTACACTGTTAGATACTTCAGGTCTTAGGGTTATGGCACAAAGCAGACCTCACTGCTGTTGGTCTGCTGTCATGAGAATTACATGCTTAACGAGAGGCACACAATAAGCAAGGCTGACACTTTACAGCACCAATGCAGCAGGGTGGGAGCTGCACTGGTGGGGGGTGGTTTTCGGTGCAGAGCTGGCAGAGGGCCCTGCAGGCCAGGGCTGCACTCTGAGACGGGAAAAACACCTCAGGGTGCTGGAGGAAGTGACAAGGCCTGACTGAGGCAGCTACTGTGATAAATGAGGCAGAGAGGAAGGCAGCAACTCAGATACAGCCACTAAAAGCTGATGGATTCCGATGCAGTTACTAAGAAGAAGATGACAAGGATTGGGAAGAGAATGGCCATTAGCTGAACAACAAAGCAGTGCAGAAGGGAAAGACTTGGGGACAGAGAGCTTGCCAAGGGACTGGCATCCACCGTTCTTAAGTGTGGTTCACTCTAGGATGTAAGAATAGACATGGGTGTGGCCTTTTCAAAAATCTTAACTTAAAACAGCATTTCAGGAGAAGGAAGGGGCAGATGAGAACTAAGCCAAGAAACAACTTTGTGAAGAAAGAATCCTGTCCTGGATACAGGGTAGTGTGAGAATTCTTTTTATTTTGGTAGTGTGAGAATTCTTGAGTTTTTATTTTGCTATAAGAACATTTACGACATGGCCAAGTTGTATTAAAGGAAAAAAATCTGTAGTATTTCAGAACTTAACTAAGATTATAAAGTTTAACAAAGTTTTAGAAAAAAATATCAGGAAAAAGTGTACACAGCTTTACTAATGAAGTTGAGAGTAAAGTTTATTTCTCAAGTAGAAAAAAGTACAATTTTAGTAGACAAAACTTTCTCTTTTTTTCACATTACTGGTAACTGAACCAGGACCTTCACAATGAACTTCATTCCCAGCCTTCTTTGAAACATGGTTTTTACTAAGTAGCCCAGGTGTGACCTGAATTTGTAATGCTCCTGCTTCAGCCTTCCAAAATGATGGGATTGCAGGTATCTGCCACAATGCTTGAATTTACTCTTCAAAAATGTATTCACTACAATGTTCCTTATTTCATGTATTCTCAACAAGAAAAATTCAATTTGGCTTATAATATCCAGTTTATTCATTCTCTAAATTATCAGATCTCTATGTCATTCCTACTCAAACTTCAGCCTACAGTAACTACAACCTCCACTGGGGCATCCCTACGATTTTGGGGAGCAATGATCAATAGTTCGCCTGTAGTTAATAAAATCAGCAGTTCCCAAACAATGTAGGAGCTGGTTCCCTTTGCACTCAAAACACTGAAGAGCCCAAAACACTCGTTCATATGTACTAGATTTACAGACATTTAATGTATTAGGAATTCAAATAAAGACATTTTAATATTTACTTATTAGTTTATAAATTTTTATACTAAAAGCAGTAACAGTATTCCTTTTTATTCATGGCTTTGCTTCCCACAGTCTCATTTCTGAGGTTTTCTGCTGCTGATCCATGGTTCAAAATAAAAAAACATTTTAGAAATAAACAAGCAAATAAATTTTAAATTGTCTACCTCAAACAACCCTGCTCTGTGAATGACTCCTCTGCCCAGTGAATCCATACCGTATACCCTACCCACACATTAGTCACATAGCAGCCATCCTGGTTGTGGCATCACAGAACCATATTTAAGGGACCTGTATTTTACTGAATAATCGCCCCCAGGCTCACAAGTAATGATGCTGGGAATGCAGATATGCCCAAGATAGGCTGTGAAGTACTTTCTTTAAGTATTGTTTCACATCATCACGAGGGTAAATATAGGCTAGTAACATATTTTGACCAACCATATTCACTTAAGTTTTATTACAGCTATTGTATGATTATTGTCAGTCCCTCACTGAGGCTAATGTGTGAATTAAACTACACCACAGTATGGATGTATATGAAAAAACACAGCACAGCTGGTCTGGTTTAACAGTGGTTCAAAGTCTAACAGCATACTTTGAGTTCTGATGTTTTCCTGTGTGAGTGACGTGACAGTACATACTCCCTTCCCAACATGGCAATGAGCACCAGCTCCAATCACAACAGTGAGTAGCTGACACTGTAAAGTGCACTGGATAGCCAGTGTTGTTTTGAATATAGGTATTTTAATAAATTACCTAAGATACCCAACAATCCTTATAAAATGGGCTATGTTAAATGACTTTGCCAAACTACTAGCTAAGTGTTTTGTGCGTGTTTAAGAGGCTAGGGTAAGGCACAAAGTTTAACAAGTTAAGAGTTATTAAATGCATTTTTTACTTACTTTCAACTTACAATGCATTTACTGAGAAGTAACCCCCTTGTAAGGCAAAGAGCATCCATGCCAGGAAGCAGACAAGCTCAGGGTGGTAAAAGATACTTGTCAAAAATTCTTTTGCTTTTGCAAGCTCTACCAATGGCAACAAACTGACAAGGCCTTTTCCCTGAAGTGAAAAGTTCATGTTGCTAATGTTAAAGAAAATGTTAACAAAATAATTCTAAAAAGTAGTTTATCTGCCAATTATTTCAAGAAAAAGTAAGTGTTCACTGAAAAAGCAAACTCAGATCATAATTCAAATTATCACATGAGAGGTTTTCCTGGAAAAGTGTCACAGCTGAGGATGCAGAAGGGCCTTCTCTTTCATCCAAATGTTCGACAAACACATACAAGATCCAAGATCTACTCAAACCAGTAATTCATACGGTTCCTTCAAGGCACTTTCTGTGGACACAGGGATGACATACTGCTGACTACTGGCACAGCTCAAAGCCACTGCAAGGACCTGGGTGAAAGCACCAGCACTAACTCACCAGCAGGTTGTACCCTCAGCAAAACAGACACCAAGCACCACCTGGGTATGAGGAATGTAGTTACGACCATACTGTAACAGTATAACCACATTGTTATCTAGAGAAGTCTGACTGATAATGACAAATAATGAGATAATAAGGAGAAATGATTTATCATTTTATTAGATAGTGGAGCAGTTACTAAAGTGGAGCAGTTGAAATTTTCAGAAGTTGTATACACAACTTGTGATTTAGTTGCTAAAATACATTCATGTAGCAATTATCCAATAACAGAGATACAAGAATTAACAAAAAATGCTTCTGTTAGAAATATTAATTAGCAAGTTTTTCCATGAACAATAAAACCAGGAGAAAAAGTGGAGTGCATACAGCAGCAGTAGTAGGACTGTAAAGAGGAAAGACACTGACAGGAGAAGACACACACAGTGTTAAAGAGGTCACACCAGAAGCCAAACTAGAATGGAAAAATGCCTTCAGGAGGAAGCGGAAGCCTCAACAGCAACCATATGATCAAAGTATGCTGCTTCATCCACTTCTTGTGTGTGAACAATTCACAGAAAAAGTCATGGTATTTGGTATAAGCTGATTAAAGAAGTAATACATTTTCTTTGGAAATTTCATTTTCCAAAAAAACAGACCTGATCCCTATTATTTGGAAATTTCAAATGATGCCCATGGTACTTGACTCTGTTCCTTGTGTCTCCTGACAAGGTGAGAGCGCATGCGTTCCTTGGTCTGCTCAACGCACATGAATCGTCCAACAGGACGGAGATGTTCCTCGGCTGCATGGTACAAGCCAGTGGTCACTGCCCCACGTGGCTATGGACTTGCAATGGGGTCAGTGTGTCTGAGAAGTTCAGTGTTTAATCTTAAGTAGTTCCATGTGGCCTGTGACTGCCACAGTGAACAGCACACAGAGTCCTTTATAAAACTGGCCAAAAGTGATAAAAGCAGTAAAGATTAGTTGTTAAATTTGAGAAGTTACATAAAAACCAATTTATAAAAACTTGTATAAATGAGGCACTGCTAGTTTAGTTTAAAATAACAAATGCAAAAAAATATAGACAATCTATATGCCTCAGTTCAAGTAACTCTGGGTCACGTGCTAGAAGTCTGAATTCACATCATCCTAGGACACTGAGGTGGACCATACTCAGGCTCCATGTGTGGAAAGCTGCACTTTCCATGACACATGACTTCCAGGCCATGCATCAGCCAACTGATTCATAAATTCAATTAACAATTATACTGAGTCCCACTCCTGTATAATGCTGAGCTTTAGGAAAAATACAACGAAGTGGATTCAATCTTTGCTCTCACAGATTTTATAGTGTGATAAAAGTAATCTCTGACAGGACCAACTCCTAAGAAGAAAACTGACAAGATTTTAACTGGATAAAAGTTAATTTAGCATAGGTGCTTAGAAAACAAGTGACCTGAGGCCCAAAGATGAGGCAGTCAGCCAAGTAAAAAGCTTGTTCGGCAGACATTAGCAAGTGCCAAGGCTCTGAGGTAGAAGAAAGTTTAGCTTGCTACTGAACTCAAGCCACTGAAGCCCTAATATAGGGAGCAGAGTGGGGGTGCTGAGAGGGAAGGGTACAAGAGGAACTTGAAATAAGAAACCAATTATTCACTTTTCCTTTATTTGAACAACATATTCAACTTCAGATGGCGTAACACCCACTTACCAAAGAAAGGGTCCTGGCCTAGCTGCTTTCGGAGGCTTTCTACCACAGGGTGACCAAAGGTGATGTTGGGAACAAAATGCCTACAAGACAAACAAAATCTTACTCTGAAAATGTTTTCAATTCAGTTTCTGTATCTCTCTCAGCATGAAGTATGACAGGGTTAGAGGAGACTGGGATTGTGCTATTTTTCAACTTAATACAATATTAAAATTAAAGTAAAAATGACAGGCTAATTTTGTTTCTGCATAATAGTATCTCTTTGATATTACAACAAATATGTAATGTTCCATGTATCTTCACAATGATCAGTCATCTGTAATTCATAACCCACAACAAGTAGAAATGCAAAGACGACAAAGTCAAAACTCCAAAGTTTATGACTTGCTTAAATACAACTAAATAGTAAAATGCACAACCCTAACACAGGTCTCCTGAATCCTAGCTTGTCACAAGAAACTTGTGGCTATTTGCAATCCACTTCAGTCACAGGACATTTAAACTTCCTTAAGTAAGTCATTTAAACTTCCTTAAAGACAACCATTTTCACGGGGTTTACTATGTGCCAGGGACTGTACCCTACTTCATTTCATCTTCACAAGCCAGATGCAAAGGCACTATTATTACTCCCCTTGAAGAATACAGGCTAAATAACACCCTTAAGTCAACTGGTTAAACGGTGGAGGTAGGATTCCAATGAAGTCTGCCTAACAGCAGACCTACAACAGCCTCTACCCTGCTTCAGTTAATATTGCAAATAAGTGTGGTCACTCGTTCGATAAAATAGTTAACAAAACCTCCCATATAGTACACAAGGTGCTACATCTTGGGAAGAAATACATTAGTGTTCCTTTGTAGCCTAAGTTCACAAACTCATTGGCAAGTGCTGGCTGGCCACTCACCAAAACGCCCAACCGTACTGCTACAGTATGGTGCTGAGTGGGAAGCCAACTCAGCCAAGGACAACACTGCCAAGCTCCCCTCACATCCAGAGCAGTCCGTATGATTAGCTGCCATCTGTGAGTTTAAGTGACATGGGTCACCACAGTCTAGAAGTTAGGTAGTATGAGAGCATTCCTAATCCAATAACCTGAATATTTTAAACTTGGAAACATTTCAAGTGCCAAAATGATGCCTTGGGTTGTAAATTCCACTCATCATGTGAGACTGCAATCAAAATGCTGGATCACTAATGCATATAAAAGTACCTTAGATTTGAGACCCATCCCCCAAGTACCTCATTATATATATGTAAGTATTCTAAAATAAAAAACGGAAATACTTCTGTTCCCAAGCATTTGGGAGAAGGTCTTCTAGTATTTGTGGTGCAGGGAACCAACATCAGGGCCTTCAGCATACTAAGCAACTGCTGTGCTACAGAGCTACAACCCCAGCCACATTTTGGAGGATGGGTACTCAACCCTATCCAAAACTCTTCCTACCCTCACTGTCCCTTTCTACTAAAAAATCCCATCATGACAAAAGGAGCCTATTCCCCTGAATTACTATAGGAGAGGCCACGCATAATGAGTTGTTACATGAATAGTAAACTACACAGGGCATGGCAGCACATGCCTTAATTTTAGCACACCAAGAGACTGAGGCAGGATGACTGCAAGTTCAAGGACAATCAGCACTTAAGGGGGTCCCTGTCTTAAACAAACAAAAGGGCTGGGATGTAGTTCAACATGAAGGCACTGGGTTCAAACCCCCATACCACAGAAATAAACCAAACATATAGGTATTGGCTTTGAGAAAAGTCAAGCAATAATGAACAGATAGTCTGTGATTATAGGTAAGACAGTTAAAAATAAGAGCAAATACTACAGGATGTTAAAAGAGTAATCATGACATTTATTAAATAAGATTTGTGAAGATGGAAAAAGAAAGAAAAGGCAGAAATAAGCATGTTATGTTCCATGGGGAAACAGTATTGATCTACTTGCCTGGTATGAAAAACCTAAGAGGTTGGCTATTACTCAATGAAGGGTGCCAAATGGGAACCTCTGCTCTTTACCCCATTTTTAGTATGAAGTAAGATTTTAAAGCAAGAAGCAAATAACAGCTAAGACAAACAATGAAGCAGAAAGATGGGCTGGGCAATCAATGACCGGCAAGGAAGTAAAGGAGCTGTTGGGAGGTGGCAAGGAACAGTAACAATTGACAAGGAGTTACAAGCCTGCAGGATTTGTGATCTGATTAGATGTGGGGGGAGGGGAAGCAAGGAGGGGACACACCACGGCTGGGGTTCTAAGCGCAGATACCTGGCAGAATGAGCACATAAGGCACGTCCAGGCACAAGTTTTAAACACGTCCCACATACTAAACCTTTAAAATCTCACAACTACCCTAGGACGCCGGTACCATTACCTGCATTATACAGATGAGGAAGAGGCCTGAAGTCACGTCAGGGAGTCAGTACCACAGGCCACAGTGAAATGCAGGCAATATGGATTCAAATGTCAGGGTCTCAATTACTAGGCACATCTGTGCCAACAATGAAAAGAATGACCAAAACATCCGGGGGAGAACATTGCTGAAAGGGGTTGGCAATGCAGACACATTCACAAGCTAACACACGAGTTCCTCTAGGTTGGATTTCTAGTATTTAAGAAATTCTTCTTTTTTTTTTTTTTTAAGACAAGGGTCTCACTATGCAGTTCAGGCTGCACTTGTGCTCACTTCTGTAGCCCCCAGGCTAGTCTGGAAGTCCCAGGGATCCTCCTATCTCAATCTCCCAATTCTCCTGTTTTACCCTCCAGAGTGCTGGGATTATAGGTGTGCACTACCATGCCCGGTTCTGTATTCTAAAAGAAATCAGTTAGGATTACAGATAAGATGCTATGTTACTTAAGAAATAAGGGTCAAATGAGCACTCAGTAAGGCTTACTGAATATAGCTCTGAAATTAAAAGATTTTTTATTTCATACTCTGTTCAAGAATTTTGTAGTCTTAATTTTGATCTTAGGTTTCAGAAGGGCTACAAATGCCAGCATGAAGCCAGGATGTACTGGATTTGCTTGCCAACAGTGCCCGCAGGAGTAACTGTGACAAATGCATATATGACTTCAATTGCAAGCCTACAGCCTCCAAAGAGGGTCCAAGAATCTGAACTCTTAACAAATGTTTCAAGGAGCTCTTTCAGACCAACCTGGAACACACTAAGTTCACTTTAAGGAGGAGAAATCATATCATGAAGTCTGCTTCATTGTGCTTTGTTTTCCCTGAAGGTATATTTTGGAGTAAAGTATACAAGAAGTAAAGTGCAATAACTAAGTATTCGTTTTCCCAAGGACTTACTGGAATTAACCGTAACCATTTATGATATAATAAGATTTTCTTATCTGTCATCACGTTCCATTGCCAATCTTAAACTTGACTTAGAATATGACTGTAATACAATTTATACCAGACAAACAAGATAAACTTGATGAAGAGGAGGATTAAGGTTGATATGTTATACATCAAGACTGTAACAAGAAAACAATCTTCCTGTGAGTCAGGAAGCACAATCTAACAAGCCACCGGGAACTGGCATATAATATCCAGGAGCAAATGGGACAGACAGTCGTGGAGGACAAATGAAGAACTGGGCTTGGCAGAAGTGGCTGCTGTCCCATTCAGCTCGTCCAAGAGAGCCCTCAGAGTGTGGACGAGTGCCGGTCAATACTTATATTAAAAAAAAATTAAAAAAAAATTCTTCCGAAGTAAAAAATCCAGTAGGAATGTAAATAATCTCTAATTTTAAAACTTGGTCATTAACTCAGAAACAGCTTTATTGTTGTTTCCTCAATTGGGATCAACATACTACCATCACTATTGTACCATGAGACACCTGAGTATCTGGGGGTGTTTTTCCACATCTTCCTTTATCCCAAACATCCAACCATACGAAGATCCCACCTTCCGCAGTGATCCCTGATCCCACCTTCCGCAATGATCCCCAAACTAGTTCTGACTTTCTCAAGACACTCAGTTTGAATCAGGAAAGAAACTGGAGCCCTAAGTAGGGAGAGACTAGAAAGTAAGCACACTGAAAATATGTTAGATGAATCTAGAAATCAGGAAAGAAGGAAACTCAAAGGCAGTACCAGGTGGGAAGGCATGCTGAGCTGCCCACCCTTGGAAACGGAGTCCTTTGCCCTACACTGGCACTTTGGCAGGGGGCACTGGCATCAGCTCAGCCAGGTCATACCTCTTCTGGCAAGACATCAACAATGGGGCTGAACCTTTCCAACTGGTTTGTTCCTTTTCAAAGGGAAATAAAAACAATTCTTACTTCAAACAGTGTGCCGATTAAAAGGGAAAAGGCTTAACAGCCACAGAACTTTCTCTAAATCATTGTTTCCCAGCAAAAGGAGATCAGGTGAAAAATATATATATTTTTATTTAGTAAGCTCAAGATATTCCACAGAGCTGAGAGGGGATAAAAGTGGTTTTTAAGAGAGTCTTCTCATTAATAATTTAATCATCCATTCACTGGACAAATGACAGCTAAGCCTGTCATGGTATTTTACTGCAGAGAATACTATAGTCAACAAGACAGACATGAAACAGGTAACAAAAGTGCATAAATTATTGGGGATTTGTGTGTGTGTGTGTGGTTTTTTTTTTTTTTTTTATGATTTAGCACAGGGTCTACAGGATCTCACTACACAGACTGGACTCATAGTGATCTTCCTACTTTCAGCCTCCCAAGCACTGGGCTTTTACAGGCACATGACACCATGCCCAGTCTCAATCTTAAAGTCTCAGAGCATCCCAGGGGCACGCCAGAGATCAAGCCTTGGTCCCTGCATCTGCCTAAGCAGGTGCTTTAATCCACTGAATTACAAGGCCAGCCCTATGTTTGGTTTTTTGACACGTGGCCTCACTATGCAGTTCAGACTGGCTATGTAGCCCAGACTGCCCTCAAACACACAGTGATCCTTCAGCCTCTACCTTCTAAGTGCTGAGATTACCACCGTGCACCACCACACCCGGCATTACTCGTTCTTTGAGAACACAGAATGTTTTTTTTCCAAGCCCAGGACTCACAGAAAGCACTTCTGAGACAACACTGACTATTACACTGCTTTTAATTCTGACTCTACCATTTCCTATGTCTACAGCAAGACTCTGCCATATTCCTCAATGTCAAAAATCCAGACAATAACAGCAGCACCAACCTCCTCAATTTATGTGAAGCTAATGCACAAGAAATGTCAGAACAGAAATGGACCAGAGGTCATAAATATTGCTATTCTTGTTGTCACTAATACTTCTGCCTTGCAAAGTGAAAATAAATGATTTTTGTAACCCACAACACTAATCCACATACCAGTTATTAAAACAAACTGCTGGGGCTGGGGAGATGGCTCAGTAGAGAATAAGTGCTTCCCTGGCAAGCAAGCGCAAGGGCCTGAGTTCAATTCCTGGTTCCACAAAAAAAAAAAAAGAAAAAAAAAAAAGAAAAATTGCTTTCAGTATCAAACAGATTCACACACAAAATAGTAGCATTACATATGATGGCAAATAAATCAAGCTTATGTGAGAGGCAGTATTTACTAACCTTACACATTGAGCCTCTAATTCCTAATACTCTTAAAAAAAAAAAAGTCTACGACTTTGCCGTTGTAGTAAGGCAGATTCAGGCAGTGGGATAAAAAAGAGGTCAAACTTAGCCAAACAGGACAAAAGACAAAATTCTTCCAGAGAAGAAGCGAGTGACATTAAAAAGGAACTAATCATCTGTGCATGCCACATGGAGGTTTTATCTATTTTAAACAAGCTTATTTTTTTCTACCTTGATCCATGGTTATGACTTTTCTGACCAGGTAACACTACGGGGTTCTGAGAACCGCAGGCACTTGGCAAAGCCAACAAGAAGTTAAGCTGTGTATCTGTCACAATTTCTGTTCTCTTAAGTCTCAGTATGTTTTAAAAGGTTTCATTTTATAACCAGCTTAAGAAAGTTGTATCCTAATTCTAAACATCATGTGCTATAACTACAGTGCTTGAAAATTACTTACAAAAAACTGCCCTCCCTGAAGAGCAGGGTGCCTGAAGAGAAAATAGACAGGAATATCAGAATTCAAATAATGACACAAAAATTAACCATTTTAGTGAATTTACGGTGCGGCAGGCAAGTTAACCTTGTACTCGCCCGTACCACCTTCCAAAGATATCTAAGAAGTACAATGAGGATTCCAGTTCTCAGAAAATGAAACTGAAGCTCGGGGAGGTTAAGTGGTTTGTTCAAAATAATCCGGCACACGGAAACACGGGAGCAACCTCACGCCTAGCGCCAAGCCCGTCTTCCCACCTCTTCCCCCGGACAGCTACGCGCGCGTGGGGAACGCAAGCCCAGCTCCTCGGGCCTCAGTCTCCCCACCTGGACATCACCGACGAGCCCTAGAGACTGGCGGTCGCTTCCGGGTCCTCAGGTCACACGTTCGGTGGGGGAGGGGAGGGCGGAGATTTGGGACCCAAACAACGTCAGCGCCACCAGCCTGGCCCAGTTCCCACCCAGGACCCTCCGCCGCCGGAGACCCGGCGCCGTGCACCCAGCAGGGGCTCCACCGAAGCGCGCCGTCCGCCCGCGCGGCAACCCGCCCCGAGCCCCCAGGAGTTACCCGTCCATTACATCCAGGTGCAGATAATCGGCCCCGGAGTCTAGCATCCGGAGACACTCGGCCCCTAAGTTGGCCAGGTCGCTGTTCAGAATAGATGGGCCAATCTTGCAGCCCGACGCCATGGTGTCGCTTCCCTAAAACAAGTCACCCAAGGAGGTCCCGGCAAAGAGAAAGCTTGTCAGGATTGGGTTTGTGGCTTGGACACGCCCCTTCCCCGTAGACTCTTCCGGACGCTACCGGAAGCAGCCGACCTGCAGGAGGAAGTCCCGCCTTCTGGTGGGAGGGGCCACCAAGAGCGGGCTTGATAGAGGGGCTAGGCACCCCCCCTTTTCTGATGTCATTTCCGCTCTTTTCCGGTCCTCGGCTCCGCCTTTCTCAAGGAGTTTCTTGCATTTCTTAATTTTTTTCGCTTTTCTTCGAACGCCGTTTTCTTTCTTTCTTGTTTATTTTTTGTACCAGGGATCGAACTCAGAACCTTGTGCATGCCAGGAAGGTGCTGTGAGCTGTCTCCCCGGCCCCACTTTTCTCTTGACCTTTCTTCACTTTTTCTTTCTCCGTATCCAATTCCCTGCTTTCCTCCCTCCACCAAGTGCTATATTTGCTCTTTAAAAATCGATAAAGCCTGGCCTCTTAGTTCTCTCCCTCGGTAGCACGCTTGTCACGAGCTGGAGAAGCCCTACATCTGGCAGGTTGCAGTTAGCTGACCAGACACGCCACTTCTCCCTGCCTCAGTTTGCACATCTGGAAATGTAGTGCCCAGCGTGCTGGTGCTTAGTATCAAATGGTGGTTATTGCTGCTTCTGTCCCTTGTCTTCTTTTTATTTTTCCCTGTTAGCAGTGTCATTGACAAATTTAGTATATTTGCTTACTGTTCCTTTACCATCCAGAAATGGATGTGTCCTGCTTCCACATGTATCTGGAGTCTGGGTTAGGAAAGTAAAACCACAAGAGGAAGGGAAGAACTGATGTAGCAGGGGCAATTCTAGGGGGATAGGACACTGCATAATGTGTACTACAAACACCCTGATGGTAATGTGGACCCCATGGTCTTTATGGCTACATACAGAGGACAACCGAGTCTTAACATCCCCACTGGGAAATGTATCAGCCACACCAGCACGTTATAGTCTTGGTGGCAAAGTCAGTTGTTGGGGAACCTGTCTTCCGTTTTTCCCATTTTGCATTATTTTGAAAATTAAGGTAAGGGCAACAGGTAGAATGGAGCTCAGTGAGGAGAGATGAACTGGAGGTTCCTTACTGGACAGTAACCTTTAATTGGATGCCAATCTCAGGCCCTGTGGGGTTGAAGAGGTACAGCAAAGTGTTAACACAGGCATATGGCAGGGCCAACCCATCCACTATAGTGAGAAATAAAACACGCATAGTCAATGTTTTTAGATTTATTATATGTGCATATTCAAACACATAAGTCTTAATATCTTTCATAAATATCTTTCATAAACATTTCAGTGTTTATTATGCATTTTTCCATGCTCTTTGGTCATTCAGTATTCATAAGATTTCATAGTCATCTGAGAGAAGTTGGCTGTGTAGTCAATCCTTCATTTTTGCCTATAAAATGGCTAATAAAGTACTTGTATCCTGTGGTCACAGTGACTATTAAAAAATATCATGGAGGTACATAGATCTGTAATCCTAAATGATCCTAAAATAATATAAGTAAATTTATCTTAAACTTTTCCAAATACATTCTGTTCTCAGCTTGTTTTATTCTCCTGAGTGTCAAATGAATGTTTGCTTCTGACATGCTGCCGTTGAGACCCACTACAGTAAATGGAGTGGGACATTTCATTCACTGCTAAGACACAGGCTGTGCAATTGGGAAATAGGTCACAGGGCAAAAGTATGACTCAATATAATAAAAGCAAATTCTGGAGACTGTGCTCTTTTACCATATCTGTGTATCTTAGTTCATGTTTTGTACTGTAATTCTATTCCACCTACCACCCTTTCCCCTGTGTTTTTATAAATGCTGTTCTTAATCTAAAAAACTCAGCAGTGGGAAGTAGAGTGGACAAAGTGCTTTGCCCACCAAAGGACCAGATGCTAAGAGAAGATATTTCCTTCTGTCTCAGGTGTTTTTAGAGGCTTGAAGTAGCAAACTGGTTTCTCCCAGCCAGTATAATAGGCCTAATGAGATCACCGGTACCACAGATTTTCCCTCACCAATGCCATGTGCCTGTTTATGCCTTCTGACACCATAGTGTCATTTCCTTTTCAGAAGAATGAAATACCTTACAGAATTCTAGAAAGCAGCAAATACTGAAAAATGAAAGCAAAATGTTTGCTATAGAAAATTCTGTATCCAGGATTTGAATGGGTTTGAATCTGAATAGTATAAATCTGCACCCACTATCATGGATGATACATGTTCGTTCTACTTCATTCTCAGAAGTTAATTTCAGAAAAAGCAACCTCTTTGTCAAGTCCAATTTTTGATACATGGGAGTGGGTGCCTGCTTTTTTTTTTATCTGAATAAGGTAAATATCATTAATCATCATGGCTTAAGACATGATCAGTTATTATCACTACTGTAGTTTTCATTTGTAATAATTAGCTTTTAGTTGTGTACTCAATAATATTTTTAGCTTAACAAAAGATTGTCAATTATCTTGAATTTTTCTTCTTTACCTTGCCCTACTATTGATTTTTAAAGTTATTCCTTCAAACTCCAGGAAACAGTATTCCTGAGAATACATCTTGTGGTAGTCGTATGCACATACACATGGGTAGTTTAGCCATTACACATAAACATGTAACACATTACACTCAACATGTTTAAGGATATCTTAAATGGAACAGATGCACACATTTGCAAATCTTAGTAGTCCCTGTCTGAAAACATTCCCACTCTATAAGGCCTTGCTTCTCAGAGTGGAAGCTTTTCTTTCGTTCGTTCGTTTGTTCTTTTTTTTTTCTTTCTTTCTTTCTTCTTTTTCTGCTTTTAATCATTTATCTATTTGTTTGTTTTTTTTTTTTTTTTTTTGCAAAGTACAGTATTACTTATTGAAAAAGTTTAACAGACATCCATACACTAGAATGAAGGAGTCAGTCTAAAGGGTAGACAGACCAGCGAAATCATGTTCAAAACAGCCCAGTACATCTTGGATATTTAACAATGTTTTTCGCCTCTTTATAAATATTTGATATAGAGAAAGGATTTGAATTAAGAAACTGTCATAGCACACACATAGAGACTCATGTAGCCCAGACAATTGTATTACCAAACATAAGGCCTCTAATGCTAATTGAGCAGCATAATTTTTAACAGGAAAATAGCAAAACCAGAAAACCACTTACATTTCTACTTTTGCACTTGAAAATTCAGCACTAAGTATAAATGACATGAAAATGTTATAAAACACAAAAGAGGCTATTTATCCCCTTAATTTTTGAATTTTAAAATTCAAATCTTACTCTTTTTATCATTAACTTACTGATATTTTTCATTCTCTTAATGAAAGGGACTATAACCCCAAGTTATATTTGAAATTGTAAGTCACAATATAAACAGCGCCTACCTAATAATTTTTTTTTTTTTTTGAGACAGGGTCTCACTATGTAGTTCAGGCTGGCCTTGAACTTGCTATGTAGCTCAGCCTGGCCTTGAGCTTATGGCAGTCCCTGTGCCTCAGCCTTCCAAGTGCTTGGATTACAGTCATCTGCCACCATGCCCAGCCCTATAAGCAACTCTAACAAAAAATAATTTTGCTTTATGATTATGGTAGGTTTAGTCAGGATCCTCTGACTAAACACGTACATTTCACAGCCATTAAAGTGAAAGTTTAACCATGTAGAATATATTTTAAAATCATCTCACTGTAATCAAAGTCTTAGTTTAACTTTTACTTAAAGACTGGAAAACATACATACACGCACACACCACAACCATACCAATTTAGGTAAATTTATAGTAGTTACATAACAGTTTTCTAAAGTAAACTGTTAAAACCTTGAACATTTATTTTGGACTACATGATGCCCAGCCCTTCAATAATCTACTAAATATTGGCCTCACAGGCCTTATAAATCTTACTCTTCTTGAAGTAATTGAGCTTCAAGTTAAAGGCCTATTTGTAAGATATACAAGCTTGCTATGTCTATGAAGAAACTGCTTACTGTATATTTTTTCCTCATAAACATAAATGCCCCCAGGATCGTAAGAATATTTTTACTACTGAGAGAGAGTTAATTTTTTCAACCAATTCTACCACTAACTTTAATATATGAAAATATGTCCTCAAGGACAGGCACAGATCTGGAGAGAAATAATCACATTTCCCATTAAATCCTAATGTTGGCATTGATGTAGTCAGGACTAGAAGTATCATCTCTTTCAAGCTATTGTATTTACATTTAGTTTTATACTTGTATATATATATATCTAGGTTCTTGTTACTTTGGACTTATGTCTGGGCATTTCTAGCATATTTTCTGTCTAGTGGTTGATTATGAAATGAAGTGATTTTATGGCATTAGCATTTTGATTTACAACATGCAGTCCAAACAATTGAAAAATAAATTCTGAAAAGTCCATAGCTCAAAATAGCATATTTTTTGTCCTCCTAAATGGTTGTATTATTGACCCAAACACAAATGGCTGAAGGCTTGTTATTTAGTCTTACCAAACTAATATTTTCTTTATTGTTTTTATGTAAATTGCTACTTATATAGACACCTAATTTAAAATTTTTGAAACTATAAAAATAAACATTTGCATGAGATGTATGTGAGCAGCCTCAAAAATTGCATTCTTTTTAGAATATATTACTTGTCAATATTTCCATGAAAGCAGCACTTTAGTAGTATATATTTTAACTGCGCAAGGCTTATTAAATCATAATGTGCAATGCAATGGCTCTTTCCCTTTACTTCTCCCTGGTTTTTATGGACCAACTAAATCCTTCACCAACTAAATCCTTCTAGCCATTGATTGTTAAGACGTTTGTGAAACATCAGATGTACTGGCAACAAAATCTCTTCAGATTGTGCCTTCCGTTGCATGTAAAATGCTATTTTGTAAGTCATTTTTTCAAGCAGAAGTATGAAGCTTTCAGCGGCGATCCTTCCCACGTCTTTCTCCTCCTGTAGTGCTCACAAGAGGCACATCTAAACATGAGACTCATCGAGAGTCACATCCACCTCCCCCAGCTCAGAGGGAGTGCAAGGGAACTGGCAGGACAGCAGGGGGTTCTCCGTGCCATTTTCCTCACTGATGTGAAGGACAGTGTCTCCATGCTGTAGGAGGCTGGACGTCTCAAGGCCTGTGAAGTCATCAGGGTCTGAGAGCTGAGTAGGGAGGGGACTGTGTGCGGCAGCAACTTGTGCTTCTGTTTCCTCCTTCTTTTCTCCTTCAGCAGAGAAGGGCTCTCTCTGTGATCAAAAGGGTCACAGTGTCATTCACAGACAGGACAGGTAGCATGCTACCAAAATGTACTATGTAGCTTTTAACTGGACATGGAACCAGAAGGCTAGTCTTCCTCTTAGTCTTCGTTAGAGGTAAAATCTCACACAGACCTTTCTAGCTTTCTAGGCCTCAGTTGTTGTATGTGCTGCTGGGTATTGAGTCCAGGACATCTGGCACACTATACCAGTACAGTACTGCTAAGCTACATCTCTGTCCCTTTTTAAAATTTGCTACTTTCGCTTAATTCAATGAGAAGAAAGAGGTGTACTAACAGTGTTTGGACAGAATATCCTATAGGCTTCTTGTACTATGGATAACCACTAAGAAGATAACAATGTACAGTGTATTGACTATCAAAACTGTCCTCTTAATCAGCTGTGAAACTGTCTCATTCATAT